TAGTAGTAGTAGTAGTAGTAGTAGTAGTAGTAGTAGTAGTAGTAGTAATAGTAGTAGTAGGAGGAGGAGGAGTAGGAGTAGGAGTAGGAGTAGGAGTAGGAGTAGGAGGAGTAGCAGTAGCAGTAGCAGTAGCAGTAGCAGTAGCAGTAGCAGGAGGAGGAGTAGGAGTAGGAGTAGGAGTAGGAGTAGGAGTAGGAGTAGTAGTAGTAGTGGTAGTAGTAGTAGTAGCAGTAGGAGTAGTAGTAGTAGTAGTAGTAGTCGTGGTAGTAGTAGTAGTAGTAGTCGTGGTAGTAGCAGTCGTCGTCGTCGTCGTCGTCGTCGTCGTCGCGTCGTTTAAGTCGAGCGGCGATAGTAGCTTGAAGACGTTTTTTTGCACTTTGTGAAGTGTTGTTGTGCTTGGCTGAAGGTTTGGGAGGAAAAGGTAAGAGCTGCAAAAGTCGGTTAGTTATAGTTAGTCAGTTAGCTAGTTCGTTGGTTGGCTGGCTGGTTGGTTGGTTAGTTAGTTTGTTTAGTTGGTCAGCTAGTTAGTTAGCCAAGTTGAATTTAGCTAAGTTAGCTTTTCTAGTTAGTTAGTTTGTTACATAGTTAGTTCATTTAGATTAGTTAGTTAGTCAGCTAGTCAGTTAGTCAGTCAGTCAGTTAGTTAGTTAGTTAGTTTAGTTCGTTCGTTCGTTGCTTAGTTATTAAGTTAAGTTAGTTAGTTGGTTTAGTTTAGTTAGTTTAGTTTAGTTTAGTTAGTTTAGTTTAGTTAGGTCAGTTAGTTTAGTTAGTTAGTTTAGTTTAGTTTAGTTGGTTAGTTAGCTAGCTAGTTGGTTAGTCAGTCAGTCAGTCAGTCAGTTAGTTAGTCAGTTAAGTTAGTTAAGTTAGTTCGTTAGCTAGTTAGGTAAGTAAGGTAAGTAAGTAAGTAAGTTAGTTTGCAGGTAGTTAGGTAGTTAGGTAAGTAGGTAGGTAGCTAGCTAGCTAGGTAGGTAGGTAGGCAGGAAGGAGGAGTAGGAGTAGTAGGAGTAGTAGGAGTAGGAGGAGTAGGAGGAGTAGGAGCAGTAGCAGGAGCAGGAGCAGGAGCAGGAGCAGGAGCAGCAGCAGCAGCAGCAGCAGCACTAGTATATGAGTATATCATATCGTAAATATGCACTCTACTCTGTGGTCAACAAGCATGGATCGACTGTGAGGTTCATGGACGTGGAGGGTGCATGCCTGATCAAAGGGGGCTTTGACCGTGTTTTCTTGGGTGGAAATTTTGGATCTGAAAAGGTGCAGATAAATGAGCAGTTGGAGGTGTCGTCGTCAGAAATTGAACCTTGGTTGAGTCGAGTTGCCCTTCGATAGGTGCTTTAAATCAACAAATCTCAACCAGTAGGCTTTGAGCAGCCAGTAGGCTTTGAGCATTTGAGGATCTCAACATGTCACTTTTGTTGGCACCACATTTTTCTCTTGGGTCAGAGCCTGTTGCTGCTTGTTGGGATGCCCAAATGCGATGCTACATCGACCCCTACCTTTGTCGACGCCTCAGCCTGCCACGGCATGTCTACATATATATCTCTGCTTCGGGAACGTCGGATCCCTCCCGTGGCTCCACAGGAATGCCAGGGTGGATATGGGCCGTGCAACTGACCTCTCCGAATCCAAAGACATCGTGGCTAGACGAACCAGAGACTTGGCTGCACGGTCTTTTGGGCTGGTGTCCCAATAATCTACAGCCCCATTGGGCCAAGTGAATTGTGATGTCTCACTGTTCACATGCCAACAGAGCAAGCAAGACACAAACATGGCTACCACTCCTCACAACCACGATGCCAAGAACACATGCTGCACAACTCCGGAACAATACAACTCAACAATGACAATCATACCAGCACGTCCTGGATTGCACAGCAAATTCTGCTGTCCGGGTTTGTGACTCCTAAAACACGTACGAAAACCAGCAAGTGTAAAACATGGAAAGATGCAGTATTCTATTGGTTGGTTGGTTTGACAAATACAGAGCCAGAAAAATCACAGGAAGAAAACATTGCTTCACAGACTTTGGGAATGAAACCATGCAAAGCAGTTGGTGTTGATTGTTGCATGAACAACTTTCACACATATTTGTAAACATTTTGCAATATGTTTTGTGTAGCAGCAGATGTTTGCAGTCTAGAAAGGACATGCTGTGTAATTAACTAAAACATGATTGTGTAAATGCAGGTGTGGTGTACATGTGTAAAGGCTTGTGTGTGTGTAAAGGTTTGTTAGAGAAAGACTCACTTGTGCAAATGGAGCTGTTGTGTTTTGGTGTAAAAGCTTGGTGGTGTGTCAAGGTGAACACGTTGTTGGCGTAAATAAGATGTGGTTGATGCAAAAGGTATGCGCAAAATCAACATAGAAAACCTTGCAACATGAAAATACAGGGTTTTCGCTGTTGGAATGCTTGGTGCAAAGGCTAGTCGGGCACACACCAAGTGGGTATGACCAGAAGCACGAAAGAGATACAGAGAGAAGAAGAGCAAGAGGAGGAAGAGGACCCGGAGGACGAAGAGGACGAGGATGACTAAGAGGACGAACGCTTGGTGGCATAGTTTTCAGGCAAGAATCCGGAATCCGGATACAGTTCTAGTGCAGCTTTGCGCTTTCAACAACCCAAACCTCCAGAAAAGAAGAGTAGACGCTGGCAAGGCTGGTGGAGAGAAACCAACAAAGGCTGAGCAAAACCCTCTCACCCCCACGGCCCGAGGCATTGCTTCGCTGCCCCTGCATTTCAAGGGAGTGCTCGCATCTGCGAGGCGAGAGATGCGACGAGAGGCGACTGTTGGAGGTGTTTATAGGTCTAGGATTTCGTCTGATTTCATTCAATCTCTCGCAACGGCGGATTCTCATTGAAATCCTCTCCTGGGTGTGGCTGCTCGCTTCGCTGCGCACAACGGAGCGAACATCTGTTCTCTAATTTGCTTTAGGGGGTGAAAACCGAGAGTGCACGGTGTTGCCCCACAGCCATACGCTCAAGGACTCAAGGCTTAAGTATTTGAATCCTAAAACCACCCCCTCGTTTGAGATCTTTTGAAGGCCAAAGGGTATTGCAACCTTTTGAAGCCAGACACTAATTTGTACTGTATGAGTCTGAGTTTCTGTGTTTTTTGGCGTTTGATCTGAAGAGGTACCAGGGAGATTCCTCGGTTGCATCGCGTTCAGACATAGACCTGGGACTGAGTTGAATCGCATAGCGCTGGTCGTATTACATCGGCCGGACGGCCCAAACCATTTAAACATACTATATACATATATAGCTTCTTGTTACTACTTGAGTTAAAAAAAATCTTGAACGAAATCATTTGGGGAGTTCTCTACCGTGTGGATTGCTGAAGGGTGGGTCTGGGTTGAAACCGGAGCTAAGTTCCCACGAACGAAACGAACGACGTTTGTCACAGATGAACTCACAAGTTCGAAAACGTCCACTGTAGACCTGAGGATGGTGATTCAAGGTACTCCTGATTTCAATTGAGGGGGGTGGAATGTCCGCCGTGCGTCCGCACGAACCCAGCGGTGTGCGCTCAGGTTCTCGTGTTTACGAGGCTTATTCGAGCGATCTCGAGCGACGAAGACCGCTCCTGAGCTCACATGAGGGCGAGACTGAAGCTCCTTCGCTTTTCAGCGAAACGATCCTAACGGGTTTAGACTCCCTGAGAGCCGCTATAGAGATCCTGCGTACCAGCGTACCCCACGAGGTACCTCATGGGATTTCTCTTTCCGGTTCCAGAAGGTCAAGATGGTCATCTGAAGAGTGGGCGGCTGGGGTGTACCCCACATGGCTGCGTTGGCCATGTTCATGGATGGTTTAGTATGGGACACTCCATCAGGTTTCAGGATGGCGTCTTGCGATACACCGGTACACTGCGTTGTTCCACAAGTTTTGATGGATCTGACAGGGACGTACAGTACAGGATGTACAGTACATTCGATGGACACAAATAGACACAACGAGGTCCAATGCGTGGGAGAACCTCCAATGCCACCTGTGTTTGGTTCCAATGCTTTTGGGGGGGATCCCTGGCTCTATCTTGTGGGATGTCCCTACAACGGTACTGTACATGTGTTTCGTGGTACACCACATTCATCCGAACAAAAACCTTCCACTTCCAAGCCCGTCAGACGGGGGTATCATCAAACGTCACAACGTGCGGAGCTTCAGACTTTGCGGGTGAATTCAAGACCGAAAGAAAGCTCCTCTTGGCAGGTTGAGCTGCAGGTCCAAGAACCTTCAATGGAGTCCGGTGTAGTGCGCATCATGGCATCAAAGATGTGGAAGCTATTTGGGTGTAACATGGTAACTGGAAGGGTAGCATAGCGGCTTGTTCCTGTCAAGTCTAATGAGTTTAATGGGTTCAGGTTGGCGAGCCGATGTCGGCGAGCTTACCTGGCGACGTGAGACCTCTCGACCAACTGAGATGCTTCGTAACCATTGGTTCATGATTCATGTTGGACAAGAAGGGGAGGGTGTGGACAAGTGTGGATCAGAATGAGAAACGCACCCAAAGCATTTCTCGAGGTTCGCTGGCATCTCCGCCGTTCGTGCTTCTTTTTGGTGGGGGAGTGAACCACTGGGGTTGAGAGTGGCAGCCACATGGCTGTATGGTATGCTACGGCGTGGATCTCTGCCGCAAGAGGTTGCCTCCTTGGGCTTCCTTGGTGTCTTTTTCACAACAGGGGCCTTCAGCTTGGCTCATCCATGTTGTGAGGTCGAGTTGATTTACCGCTTTGCCTAGCAAAGTCATGAGACATTCTGCTGAAGGCACATCAAACAGAACAGGTTATACGGTATTTGGTTATAGTTATACCCCTTCTGAAACTTGGCTGTGTATGTGCAACCATGTGGTGATTTTGCCCAGCTCCTTTTTTGTTGCCCCATCAAAAGAGGATTTCTCCCTACTCTCAAAAACCAGGGGCTTAATCAACCAAGGACAGTTACAATACCCCTTCAACGGGGTCCTCAAGAAGAATGAAACTCATATTTGGTCTTATTATTATTGGGTGTTGGATGAGAGGCTATGCAAATAGAAGTGCATTTACATTCTTTTCCTTCCACGGCCTTTCTCGTCTGTCGACTTCAAATTTGTGAAGGGATAGAGCAGCTACAGCCAATTGCTATAAGAGGTTGGAGACTTCTCCAAGTGTGCACGCCTTTTCGTGGCAGAAAACCACTTTGGTCCAAAGGACAGTGTTTTTTGGCCGCCGCGAGGAACTTGGAAGCGAGTCAACTCGCTTCAGAAAACAACGCCGTGATGGCCCAACTTTTTGGATGCAATGAGTCAGGGAACTGTTTCGGGTCACGGGGTTCGGGTCAGACCCCGGGTCAAAAAGACCAGTGAGTGAACACCCTTGTTGACTTGCTAAGACGAACATGAATGCCGTCAACGGCGAGTGAACCTCGATGGAAATAATTGTCCAACTTTCTGGCGCCGATTTTTGGAGTGAGCCTTCGCCGTGATGACGTGCGAAGCTTGGCTCCTTTTTTGCTACGACGATGCACGACTGTGTGCTGTGAGTGAAAACCATATGAGCGCATACGAAAGCGACAGGGCCGCCGAGCGTGGCTTCAGACAATTCGCGGTGAGCATTAGCACTTTATGTGAATACTTAGCGCTTGACTTGCAAAACCGTAAAAATGAAAGGTCAGCACAACCGAATTTTTGAACAAACGCAATCATTAGCTCTTTAAGATAAGTTAAACAATTGGTGCAGGTACGTTCCCAAGGCGTCCCTCGGGAATATCACAGTCTCAAACCACCGTCTTCGTTGGGCAATGGATTGAGAGACTCACTGCCCCCCTGCTGCTGTACAAGGTAGAATTCAGCGAAATAGAGTAGAGTAGGTTAGTTCCCCTTGGAACGGGGTTTGACACACACACACAGACTCGAGTGACAGTCATAACGTGGTTGTTTGATACCGGCAACCCGGTATGGTTTGACGATTCTGCCGAATTGCCCATGAGGCTCCAGTCGGACGATGAAGATCGCCCTGACAGGCCGGACCGGAAAATGGGACGGGTGCATCTGTGCACCTGTCTTGACAACCCCCCCCCCAAACCAAAAAGTCTAACACATTGGTTGGAGGTGGAAGAGTCTAACCACCTTTGTTACAAGCGGTGTGGAGGACGGTTTTGCGCTTTTCGTTGATGCTTCCTGCTTCCTTGCAGTAGATGTTCCTAGAAACATGTCCATACTGTACCTTAGGATATGAGCGCGTAGTCCCGAACACCCATTTGAACTTTTGGGTTGGGAAAACGAGAAGAAAAGCAGGGCAATGCCATTTGGGCAAAGGCGGAATTGAGGTTCTCCATGGTTCTCCTGAAGACTCATGTGTTTAAACATATTTGCTTTTGAGCAAGATCGAATCGACTCCGGGACCAGAGCTTGAAACGAGCTTCACCAAGGTCTCTATTTGGTACTTTCAACAGCGCAATATGTCTGGAGCTCATGGAACTCGACAGGGACAGGAAAGGAACCCGACAGCTGGGCTCACATCTCATCGGGCCGATGGCCGCACAGAGTTCTGAACTGGACATGTTCCCTTGCTCCAGCTGGTTGCCGTATGGACTGCCATAAGGGGCGTTGGTAACAAAAATATGTATAGTATATATAATTTCTATAAGTGATATTTAGATATATTTAGCTGTGTTCGATGAAAGTTTGCTCCAACGCGTTGAACAGTGGTGAAAGACATCTCTCCACAGGCTTCGCCTGGTCCGGATTCGCAGCTGCTCTGGAACCAGGATCCGAATGGCTGGCTCGTCTCGCCAAAGATGCACAGGTCATAGACCAAGACCCAACCCTGGCGAATTTGATACTGGCCAAGTCACTGTCAGACAGCAATCAATCACAGAACCAGAGGAACCGGCGCGTTTTGGCACTTCGACTTCGCCGATGGAGAGGGATTTCTGGGAGCTTCACAGGAAGCTTGGAGAAGCCTATGAGGCAGATACAAGGCGCGCTGCTTCCACGGGTGAATGCCGGGTAGTACTGACGCAGACTTGGGTAATATTTCAGAATCCACTAATGGTTATATACTAACCTGTGGAATTTGGAGCAATGTAATTTTATAGGAACCTTGATTTGTTTGTTGACTCAGTTTTCCAGTTTTTCCCCAAGCAGTTTACTGTTGGGGTTCTATCTTAGAAAGAAAAGAGCTGGCCACACTCGCTGGCCGCGCCCCTGAACTCTGTGGCTGGGCTCTGTGGCTGGGCTTTGTGGCCCGGCTCTGTGTCCGGGCCTTGTCCTCCTCTTGTCCTCCTCTTGCCCTTGTCTTGGCCGCGCCCCTCTGTGGCCCGGCTCTGTGTCCGGGTCTTGTCCTCCTCTTGTCCTTGTCTTGGCCGCGCCCCTGAACTCTGTGGCTGGTCTCTGTGGCCCGGCTTACTGGAGAAGAGTGTGGCCGAACTCACTGATAAAGCAGTTTGCTCTTAGGGCAAGAGTAGAGCGCACCAAGAAAACGTTTTTGACTAATATTGGTCCAAGTGAATCGCTTTAAAGCTGTTTGGGGTCTATGCTGGTATTTTTCTGTAAGAAAGAACGAATCCTGCATGTACACCAGCATCCCATTGATCCTTTTTTAGTTGTCGTCCCTCTACCCTGGTGTTGGGTGTCTCATTTGGAAAAGCCTCAAAGATATGACAAAGGGCATAGGGTGTGCGACCAGCTTTTGTACAAAGCCAAGAAACCCATCGAAATGTGTCCTGGGTTATTGAAAAGCATATGTGTGCTTGTATGTATATATGTTGGGTCTGTCCTACTACCTGTAACAGTCAGTTAACAATTATCACTCATTTTAGAGAACGGCCTTCACCAACCATCATCAGCCAATGTTACTGGTAATGGGATAGACCCATATATATATATATATGGTACCCCCGTACCTACCTGTTGTGTGAAACACCGTGTTTTACAGTGTTTCGTGCTTATTTTCTATATGCTGACTATTGTAGTGTTTTTATATAGTTTAATGTTTGATCAATTAGTTTCAGTATATTCTTGAATTTGGGTTGAATTCAATTGGAAATAGTTTCACTTGATGTTCAAATAAGTATAACTTGTGTGATTTGTCAATCTATTTCCAATTTGTTTTCACACAAGTCTTAAAATATCTTTAATTGAACTTTAATGTGCAGTTCTGCATCCACAAATCCACAAATATTTTTCTTTGATACGGCTGTGCAACTCATGTCCAAACATTTGCGATGAAAGGCAGGTACAGGGAGGGAGGATAGCATATTATATATATAAAAATATACTATACCGATGAGTCGGAGCCACCTTGGAACAGCAAGACGCAAAAGAGAAGGGCTGCAAGAACACAGCGTTGCAGCCCTGATCAAAAACAAGGCAATGCTTCAGTCTTTTGGAGAAGAAGGAAACTCACCAGCTGCAAATGGCCACTGAGTGGCAGCCCCAGCCCAATTTGATTGATTGTGTGTCTTTTGTTTATGTCAGTTCCTTTTTTTCTTGGCTCTGTATTACCTTTGGTATATTTTTCCTAGCTTGAAAAAGGTAGGATACTTAGTTCCTTGCAACAAACAGATGAGAGACATATTTTTATCATTGTGTGTGTGCCTATTGTTCTTATGTTTTTCCGTTTAGTTGTTGTCCTTTCATTATATATATACATATTCATGTTATTTTTGACAGCATGTCATATAGCCTTTATAAATGGTCATTAAAGATATGCAACTATACAACTACATCTTGGAATAATATTTATAAATCTAGTAAGCTTACTAGAAATATGCTAGAATAATATCCCATTTTCTCTGGAGTACCTTCACATGACACCATGTAAGGCACCAGCTATTGCCTTTGCTATTCTTGACTTCTTGCTGAAAAAGCTGTGGGCCAAAAAGTTACACCGGATCAAGGGTCAGTAAAGGGGCGGAATTATATACATGGTGCCTGATCTAGGTTCCTGTTCATAGAATCGCAATTCTTAGCGAAAAGAAATACTTGTGTTTTGCTATGATTTGTGGCCATCAAGTTGGGTTGCGTCCCTCCTTCTCCTGCCATGTGGCGGTAAATCCGCATTCACCGTCACGGTCATCAGGTTTCGAAAAGCACCTGGCTGTGTCAAGCTCACCTCTTGTACACCGCCCTTTTTGCACAGTGGCATGGTCAAGCAGGGGCGAACCGGGGCACGCGGGCAGACCCGGGCGGACGTGGACATGGACGCGCAGTCATTGGGTCCTTCTCCATCTGGCCACCTTTTGAACACCGAAAGATCGTCGTAGCCGAGGTCGGCTTTTTGAGGGATTCCGTTCGGTGTCATAGTCATGGTCATTGATTCCAGTGGGGAGAAGGCAGTCTGTCTTCAAACCCCACAACCCATTTGACCATTTGGCCCATTGATTCGCTTCAAACATTCAAGGAGAAGTTTGTTCATAGTGAGTCTGGAACACACTTCGACACTGGTTTTCCGTTAAAGCTCAATTTCTCCGCTGG